AAAAAAATCTTTAAAATAAAGACCATTGTGAGAGACAAAGAAGGATATTACCTGATGATAAAGGGAATAATCCAACAAAAGGATATAACCCTTGTAGATCAGATGCATTTAATTGATATCTTTTGAGCATCTCACTCAAAAGCAGCAGAATATACAACCTTTTCAATGCATATGAAACATTTTCTAGGATAGACCACAGGTTACTATACAAAATAGGTCTCAATGAATTTAAGAAGATTGAAATCATATACAACATCTTCTCTGACCATAATGATATGAAACTAGAAATCAATCACATACACACAAATAAAAACTAAAATACACACAAAGACATAGAGACTAAGAGCTACTAAACAATGAATGGGTGGACAATAAGATCAAGGAAGACATCAAAACATACATTGAAACAAATGAAAATGAGAACACAACCCCAAACCCGTGGGACACAGTGAAAGCAGTCCAAAGAGGGAGATTCATGGCATTACACACCTATCTCAGGAAACAAGAAAAATCTCAAGCAATCTAACTTTACACTTAAAGGAATTAGAAAAAGAAAAAAACAAAGCCCGTTGTGAGTAGAAGAAAGGAAATTATAAAGAGCAGAGCAGAAATAGATGAGCATCTAAAAAAATATATAATCAATGAAACAAAGAGCTGATTCTTTGAAAAAATAAACCTTTATCTAGACACATTTAGAAAAAAAACCGAGACGATCCAAATAAATAAAATCAGAAATGAAAGAAGGGAAGTAACAACTGACTCCACAGAAATACAAAGGATTGTAAGAAAACATTATGAACAACTACATGCCAACAAATTGGACAATCTGGACAAAATGGATAAATTCCTAGAAATATACAGTCTTCCAAAACTCAATCAGGAAGAAGCAGAAAATCCAAATAGACTTAATACAACTAATGAAATTGAAGTAGTAATATAAAAACTCCCAACAAACAAAAGTCCTGGACTGGATGGCTTCACAGGTGAATTTTACTAAACATTCACAGAAGAACTAACACCCATCCTCCTCAAGCTATTTCAAAAAATTCAAGAGGAGTGAAGACTCCTAAGCTCATTTTATAAGGCCAGCATTTATCTTATTCCATAACCAGATAAAGACAGGACAAAGAAAGAAAATTATAGGTCAGTATCCCTGATAAACACAGATGCTAAAAATCCTCAACAAAATATAGCAAACTGGATCCAGCCAACACATTAGAAAGATCATACATCATGACCAAGTGGGATTTATTCTGGGGCTGTAAGATTGGTACAATATTCACAAATAAATAAATGTGATACACTACATAGTCATAATGATTATAATAAAAATCACATGATCATATCAATAGATGCAGAAAATCATTCGATAAAATCCAGCACCCATTTACGATAAAAACTCTCAGCAAAGGGGTGGGCAGACGGACTCTGGAACCTGACCAGTAAGGGCAGCGTGTCGCTAGCTTTATCCGAAATTTGGAGGAAGAAAACTGAATTTGAATCGACACAGAGGTCAAGTGGAAGAAGCCAGAGCTCCAAAGCCCCAGCCTTGAAGACTTGTGGAACCCTGCCCTGGATTTTAGTTCTATGAACAAATTCATTTTCCTTTTGAATAAAAGGAAAATAAATAAATCTATTTTCCTTTTGCGTTTTCAGTCCCCCCCCTCCCCTCCTCCCCCATGTTTCCTATGTTAAAGACTAAATTTCTGGTCTGAAAGGTAAACATAAGTAAAGAGCTCTCAGCCCTGGGCGTGGCTGGCAGGAGGGAGGTGCTAATTCACATGGAGTTCCAGGTGGTGCACAGGCCCAGGGGACCTCAGTGCCCCCAGGAGACCAAGAGGGTAGGCTCGGTTTTGTGCCATTTAACTGAGTGTGTGTGTGGGGGGGGGGGGGGGGGGGGGGGGGGGGGCTGCCAGCCTGTGCCTGCCCCTGGCCCACCAGTCCTTCCAGTTCAGATAAATGTGGAGATACTGTGACCAAATCCACGGCCCTGTGATATAATCAAGCTGTGACACCCTGCTCTTAAGTGACCTGGGCTTCTCTTAATTCATCCAACATTCGGAGGACTAAAGGGAGAGATTCTGTTCCAGTCATTGGCAGGGAGGGCACGGGTATGGGTAACAGGCCTCCACAGGGAATTGCCCCATGAGGGCCCTGCGCCCCCCCAAACACCTCGCCTTCTATGACATGTGGGATGAGTTGGTGCCAAATCACACTAGGTCATGGAAACTAATACCTGTGCATGTGTATGGTCCCTTCTCTGCCCTTATTCCCACTGACCCTACTGTGTGTTGTGACTTGTTCTACAGGCTGCCCGACATGGCTGGAGGTGGGCAGAAATAAGAGAGAGAGAAGGCAGGAAGTCTCTGCCTGCTCCAGGAGCTCAGAATAACAGAATTTGCTGGGGGAGAGAGAGAACTTTCTGCTGGATCCCACTGGGTTTGAGGCACTTATAGAGAACGGCATATTTAACGAGCTCTCGAGAGCCACTCTTCTGCATTTGCGCGCCTCTGCTTCTCCTTCATGAGACCCCTACGCTATGCATTGGGTCACTTTGCGAGTAAAACCGTTACTGGGCCATGGGGATGGGAAATGCCAGACAAAATGACCCCAAATTAAAAGAAAAATAATATCCACCCTCACAGATGTGTGTTGGAAATCAGCCTCTGACTATGCACGGTCTCACTTGAGAACAGTTTAATGTTATTTGTTAATAGCAATTCCTTCGACTTTATCACCCATACCTCCACCCACTGTCAAAGGAGCAGAGAAATACGAACTGTCACCACTTTGGGGCACCTCTCCGATGATACTAGAGTGGGAGCCGGAACACGAGGGACTGCAGGGACACGCAGGAGGCAGCCCCCTCACACAGGACGGCGCTGGGAGCGAGGGACTGAGTGCTTTTCATTCATAGACCCCCATCCTGCCCAATGCCAGAATGGAGGGTCTGTTAAGCACAGTTAATTCACCGTTGCTGGGAATTTAAGTGACTGCAGCTTAATTTGTGGCATGAGGTGAGCCGCAAGAACTTCACTCCATAATCTCCACTCTGTGATTCGTGTCTATTTTTTGGCTGGTTCCAAGGCACCAAATTAGAATTATTTCTTTCATAACAAGAAAAAAATTAGTTTATCCAAGGAATGAGAAATAAATTAGAATCCTGTCTTCCTTATAAGAGAGAGGACAACGGAGAAGGAATTGATTTATATATGAGAACAATTTGTTATGCAGGGTGCTGGTTTTGTGGTTATAATTTAAACAGCTAGAAAGTGGCCGGGCCGGCGTGGCTCAGTGGTTGAGCTTTTATCTATGAACCAGAGGGTCATGATTCGTTTCCCAGTCAGGGCACATGCCCCAGTTGGGGGCTCGAATCCCAGTGTGGGGCGTGCAAGAGGCAGCCCAACAATGATTCTCTCTCACCATTGATGTGTCTCTCTCTCCCTCTCTCCCTCCTTCTTTGAGATAAAAAATATGTATTTTTTCAATAAATAAAATAAAAGGCTAGAAAATGAATAGCAGAGTAAACACAAAGTTAGTAGAATGGAGGGAATAATAAAGAGTGGAATGAAACAGAAAACATAGAAGAGTATTATATTTCACACAAGCCAGTTCTCAATGCCACTACCCAAGTACCAACCTTCATGAGGCCACACCACCGTCCCTCCATGAAAGACGGCGGCTGTGGCTCCAACCATCCCTTTGAGCTCTTGAGCTTGGGAGGTTTGTCAATTATCAGCTCATCATCCCCAGCGCCCCCCCCCCACGCCCCCTGCCCCCCAGGAGCCCATGGAAG